GGAACAATAGCCGATAACTTGTCAGCTCTAATTGAATTTACTCCCATGTAAAAAACAAAAGTGTTAAGTTACCATTTGTAACTAAAGATAGCAAACATCCTGTGGGAAAGAGTGGTGACGATTCATCAGCTCTAATTGAATTTACTCCCTTGTGAAAACAAGAGTGTCAAATTACCCTTTGTAACTAAAAAATAAAAATATCTCGTTATATTTGCATGCAACAAGAACAAAACAGTCGTTACCTGCACTTACTATTGTAAATGTTAGAACTGTTTCAAATCTAAATAGCCTTGTCTCCTCTAAAACATGTCCTAAGAACTAGAAGTGATGATTTATGACCTCTAATTGAATTTACTCCTTGTAAAAAACAAAAGTATCAAGTTACCTTTGTAACTAGAAATAAATATATCTCATTGCATTTGCATACTACTAATTCACGAACTGTTTCAAACCTCAAGGCTCATCTCGTTCGTAACTAAAATCGTCAACCTAACCCACAGAAAATGTCGAAGTAAACCCAATATATGAATACTTCCTCCTCTTTTATAGAAGAATAAATATGGCCGTTCTAAACTGCGTCGGGATCAAATCTTCTCACATACCATTAACCTTAACAACAAGAAATTTGATTGGCTGTTTATAGTAGATCCAATCTGATTGATGTCACATACATACATCTCTCACTCACTCACTCACTCACTCACTCACTCATCCATTGACCCGTCCATAACATACCCAACGCGCCAACTAAGAGGTATTTTTTTCACAAAAAAATAACTCAAAAACTGTAAGTTTATTTTGTCTCATTTTTACTGGAGATACAGGCATTAACTTGGTAAATGACATTGGTCCTAATAACAAACAATCCTCCCATAGAAAATAGATGACAGCTATACAGTTACCACAATACCTTGTGAACCTGACCATTAGGCACAAGGAGAGTCAATATTATTTTGTCCACTTTCCTTGATGCTAGGTTTGAAGATTTTAAAACTTTTCTGTATGTTTTTTTTTATGAGTGTTGTGAAGTGGTCATCTTTTTTCCTACTTGCTCACAAACTCTCTCATCCTCTTTGTCCAAACTGGAACACACCTGTAACGCCATCATAACTACCTATGGAGGATTCAAATTATTGTTCTAAGTGGTACCGGAATGTGACTTTATTTATTGAGTGTGTCATGAACGAGTCATGGCCAGATGGGAAAAAATATGGCTTGAGGGACATGTGCTAACTGCACCATGTCCATGAAAATGTTTGCCTGGAGAACCAAATATTTTCTGCCCAGCCCATCCTAACTCAGTCATTAAGCTACATGTACCATCTTTATTGATCTTGATACAAAGAGGCTTCAACTTCTTCATTGACGTGATATCTAGAATGGAAATTTGAGTTGGATGGTATTGGTGGTTGGTGGGTGCCACTGTAGGGGTGGGTGAGTGGCAGTGGTGTTTGTGTGTGGTTCGTGGGTGTTTGGTCAGTGTATTGGCATTGATGGTGATCACAATAATAATGAATGAAGTTTGTTATTGTTCAATTTAACTCAGGTGCCTTTTGATAGTGGAAGACTGGTATTTCCTCCTGTAGCTGCTGGTGTCTTGGCGGCAATCTTCTACAATGTGTTTGCTATACTCTTGCCACTAGCCATTGCCAGAAGTATCTTTGCAGGTGGTTTGTTGGGCTATATTACATATGATCTCATGCATTACTACCTCCACCATGGATCACCGACACCTGGGAGTTATCTCCACCAGCTGAAAAGATATCATGTGTCCCACCATTTTGAGGATCAGCAGAAAGGTGGGTTGAACTTAACAACAAGAATATTAAAATACTGCAATTTAATGAAGTGTTGTTTTTGTAGGTAATTTTAAATGTTCATTAACGAAAACAAGAGACTGGAGCCCGTAGTACCTCTATACATTTCTATACTTGTCAACATATACCTACATGTACCTAGAACAGTTTGTTTTTAGTTTTTGTTCAGAGCAAATACTTATAAGGCAGTGTATTTTAATTTGTGGAGTTCTGCCTTGCAGTTGAACCTTTCTGTCTAGAATTCTTAAGGGAAACAAAAAATGGTTGAGGTTGGGTTTCAAGATAGCTGATCTTAAGTGGCTGAAAAAGTATATTGAACCAAGAGAAAATGATTTGAGTTTGAGATAGCATGGAGTTCAAGATAGTGAGGTTTACTATATCTCTGTATTACTTTTTGCACTTGTACAGAAAATGATAAAAAGTTGCAACCTCAAAGTTTTCTATTGCATGTGGCTCAAACATGGTTTGGTTTATTTTGACTCACAATAAGTCAGTCTCTAACAGCTGTCTAAAATATAACTACTAGGCCACTACAACTTCTTGCTTGTTATGGACAATTATAAGGAATTGGACCATTTTATCATGATCTTAATTTTTAAATTTGTTGTTTTAATTGTTAGACTTGACCCAACGCTTTGCTTTTTAATATTTTTAATTTAGTGTGTCTTGTATCTTAGTCTTTTTATAATATTGTTTCATATTTGAGAATCTTTCTATATTTTTAATTTTTAAACACTTTATCTTTTTATTCTGTAAATATTTATATGAGGGCTGTGGACTGGTTTTTCAGTGATTACTGTTGTGCGCTACCCTCAATAAATAAATAAAGTTGATTATTATTATTATTGTTGTTGTTGTTGTTGTTGTTGTTGTTATTAAATATTTTATTAATTAATTTCTACTTGTTGTTTTGTAGGTTTTGGTATTTCCAGCAAGTTGTGGGATTACCCATTTGGCACCTTCCCTGATAAATTAAATGTCAAGGCAGCTTAGGCTTTATGTACACTGTCTATTAATTAAAAGTAATGTAATTGAGGAAGTGGTAGATAATTCTGTTTTGATGTTGCAAGGCAATTAAGTTATGCGGTATTTATTGGTTAATCAATGATTCACTGTCAGGAGAAAGCTGGGAATAGAAACCAAACCAGTGGATTATTTTTCTTGCACTGGCTAATTATCCTGCACCAAAGTGTGTTTTTGCAGTGGCCATATTTATTGGGCATGTTTCCAAGTAGTAGGAAATGTTTGCATAATTATAACAGGAGGGGCGATAATTGGTAAAATATGAGACTTGCCAAGATTCTCAGTTTCTTGTTTGGAAATCTGAGACTGCAAGTAAAACAGTTTTAGACTTTGAGACATAAACACACAAAAATGAGACTTTGTGGCTCATTGCGAAGAATTCCCAGATTTTGAGATTGGTTAAAACATTTCAAAGACCCAAGAGTTTCACTTTCCACCCCTAACAAAGTTATTTCACCGAGGTGAGACTAATGTTGTTTTACCACAAACATTGTGGTGCATTCTTCACTGCTTTGCACATTTACATGTGCTCAAGACAAATACTCCCCATATTTATATGTTGTGCTTTCCAATCTCTAAGGCTCTCATATTTTCCACTTTCACATGGCAAGTTCTCCAGTTTTACCTTGATAATGGACGTTTAATATTTGTTTTATTCAACAATGTGGCACTATACTACTAACAGTGTACCTGGTTCTTACATGTATGTATGAAGAGACATTGTTTTATTTTATTGTATTATTTCAATCTTACACAGTAATTAGTCATTGCAATGAGATTTCATCATTCAAAACATGGAGACCTAAGGCATTTGATTTTTGTTATGGAGGGAGATGCAAATCATGGCCTAAAAGGAAAGGGATGTCTAGTTTTTAAGGAGGTCAGTCACGGTATTTTGAGTTATCTTGGCCACATACAAAATTACCTTTAAATGGTAGGAAACCTGAAAATAACAGTTTAATAGGACAGAAAAACACCAAATACATAATGAATAACCATAAAGGAACAAGGATGGCTAGGGATGGAGAAGATTAACAGAATTACTAATGACAAATTTGAAAAATTGAGGTTAAACTTTTCAATATGCGCAAACTATGACTGAGCTCCTTTAAAATGCAAGCAGTCTTTTTGAAATGTGGCACCAAAATTTTGACAAAACATCAAAAAACGTCAAGTGCTATATGTTTATCAGGCACAAGAGACAGTGTTTCATCTAATTTCCAAACACTCACAAAGAGAGTTGAGAATACAACTTGCAGCAGAGTATTTTTGCTACAATTGGGGAGGTTTTTGTAAAGTAATGAAACACATTATTGAGTTTTGATATGTCTTCTCAGTTAAAGTTATCATAATCGTAATCTGGTAAACACCATCATAGTTGTGATTTTGTTTTTACTTGGTGAATTGTTAGGGAGATTTTTAGATACATATCAAACACAATAGTGAATGTTTGATCACAGATGAACCACTGAGAAAAGAGTCTAAATGCAACATCAGTAGCAGTGTTTTACCTGGAATTGAGAAACCTAATTTTGTGATCAAACTTACTTTTGTGTGGGAAAATTTAGAATTAAAAAATCATTGTTGATCTGACATCATTTAACATTCACTGTGCATGTAAGCTCCTTAATCTTTACTGGAGAGTGGAGATAGAATTCATGGCACCATTTTTGAACAATCGTGCCATTGGGAATATTTTCAACCAAAAAGTTAGCAAAAGGAATGTATGATGTTTTAAATGTAGATCCTTTTTTAATGCAAAAACTATGCTGCACATTTACTTGACAATGACATCCGACAATGTTGAAATGTCAAATATCCCTTTCGCTAATTTCTGTTTTGAATTAGATGTAGGGTTCTTTTATATAAGTAAGTCTAGGGTTATTTTAATCAGGGGCATAATATTGGTTAAAACATCATGTTAAAATTGAGAAGTAATATTTTGTAATCAAAAATAATTTTCTTAACTGATGCATTAAGGTGTTAACTTTGGACTTAAAGACAGTAATTTTCACAAAGAAATGTATTTACAATAATTTATTGAGTAGACTAAGAATATTAATTAGCAACTCAACTATTTATTGTTGTCAGTGATTACTAACTTTTGTAGTTTTCATGGCAAGTCCTTCTTGGAA